GAAATGAGAATTACTGTGTTTGTAAAATCTCCCCACTAAAGGGAATGTTGCAATCACACTAATATTACAAAGGCGATAGTTTGTGAGTGTGTATGTTTGTTACTTCTTCACGTCTAAACGGCTGAAGCTATTTTAATATTTGGTATGGAGTTAGCTGACACCCTGGGAAAATATCCCTAATAAACCGCGGGTAACACCGCGGGGCACAGCTAGTTAAAAATAAATCGGAACGAGTAATAGAAAACACAAAAGGCTTTTCTTTTTGCATAATAACTCCTTCCTCTATAGTAAAAGCCTTATATAAATAAGCCTTTTATACCTTCCTAAAATTACTTCCAATTTTGCACCAAAAGATCTTGGGTCACTCTGTATGCACAACAACACCCCACCAACTTCAGAGCGGACTACAAGTTTGGCGCGTTCTGGTACTTCGCTGCTAACTTCACAACCGCCATAAAGTAAGAACGAAGTGAATATAAAGATGTGCTTGGCTGAAATAATCAGTACCGGTACGGATAATTATGTATTACCGTCAGCATTCATTGAACTTGCATCATTTATACTGTATAAATTATACAACCATCAAGCTCGTCTACATTAGTTAACATCTTAATGGGATGTTCTTTTATTTGTAGTCTTGAAACTATAAATTTCTATTATTCCTTTTAGGTTTCCAAACCTTAAAAGAAAAATTATAGGATCCCTTGTCTATCTGTCCGCGTGCCAAAACCCTTTTTCTCAGGAAAGCGTCTACTATCAAGTTACAATTACTTAGATTTGCTATTCCTATTGATTCCGTCCGTTTAAACTCAAAAAACAATTTCAAGCCCATCTCATGAAAATTCGGTGGGGTCCGATGAGACCAAAAAGTTCCTACTTGCCCCCGCCTCATTATAATGCTTTGTTGAAACTATTTATTAAAGAAACAAAAGCGAACATTTATCGAAAAACTTTATTTATTGAAAATAAATACTAACTTATCGTTAATATACATAAATATATAAAGTATATATATAACGCGTAGCATTTCAAACAAGGTAAACGCTGGTAATGTCGACAGTGTCCCAGTACTCGTCACTTTTCAAATAATGATTAATTACAATTTTCTGTTTATATTAAAGTAAAAACTTTTAGAGGTAACTCTTGGTGCATATGGTTGGTGCGTGTTAGGAACTCATGGTTTTATACTACACCATTAAAATAATACCACTTAGTTAAAAAAGCAATGATGTAGCATGGAAGTTAAAACACAGTGGAGCACTCCCAGTTTTTGGTGTTTTTCAAAGTTGAATTTGATTCCTTATATTGCTGTATCTATCGTCAGTTTGCTGAATACAATTATTTCTTGTAATAGTTAATTAAATTATCTAACGATTTAATACCTATCCAACTGAAATATTTAATAAATTGATTATTTTTAAGTCAGTGATATTTATTTAATGTTTGCTTTCATTATATTCCTATGTTTAAAAGACAGTAATGACATATTTTTTTAGATGAGAAAAATCATGAACTTTAAATATAAAAAAGTAAAGCTCAAATTCTTCATAAAAAATGACGAGTCAGCCATGTTCAGAAACTGACTGTTATTGGTTAAGTACCCTACAGTAATATTTCCATTGGTAAATTTCTTTTATGCGGACTGTATCAAACGCTGGGAATCAATCTGCTTTCTCAAATAAGCTGATGCTGGCAGTTTTCTACTCTTATTATTTTGTAAGTAATTTATATTTAAGACACGATAGTTTAGGTACAGACGCAACGATTTTGGAAAACAGGAATTCATCTCTCATTATAAAAACAACCATCACTCGGGAACAAATATTTGTGCTCATCACACAAATAAATATCGGGACTCGAACCCAAGAATATGGGGTAGAAAGCAAAAGTCTTTGAATGTTATCTAGTCTATATAAAAGGCAACCGTTACTGACTGATCTAACAACGCAAAGTTCAAACCACTGAACACTCATATAGCTATTATGATGTAGGCGTGCGCTAAAAAAGTATTTTCGAAAATTCACCCCCTAATGGCTCAATTACATTTGGCCGTTAGCATGCACGAAAGATATTACTCGAATTCGGGCACCCGAAGCAATGTTTACACTGGAAAGCAGGCTGGATGACGATGTGACGATGTCGTCTAAACAAAATTAAAATCTCCGTTCATTTATACTTAGTCGTTTACGCGAATTCCATTGGCACTCGTATTCGAGCTAATGACCAAGTGTAATCGCGCCATTAAGGTATAAAACGGGGGTTTAAAGTTTGTAAGTGAAACTAATATTTCCGCGCAGATGAATTCGACGGGACCCACTAGATGCAAATTAAGTTTCGTGTAAAGAACAACACAGATCCATCCTAAATGACTTCACAATTCGCGCAGACGTATCATAGCTGTTCATGCTCGTATTATTCCAAAAAACAGCACAGTTGAACATAAAATCGCTTGATTGATTATCCAACACCGGTAATGGGTGATGGGCATGCATGCGTCTGCAACGAATTATTACAGTAGGCCAGATAGATGTACTAAGATAATCTACCTCTCTTCTAGTATATTGAATCATCTTACTTAATAAACACATAACCTTATTTTATTTTGTTAGAACTTCAGAAAGTACGAGGAATAATTTCTCCAGGACCGTTGTAGGAGAAGACAGGAGCACTGCCATTTCACTAAGCATTATTATAATAGAAATCATTAGTGTTCTTAGTAAAGATAATTATAAAAAATACTTAGCGCAGATATATGTAAATATAGCCGTAAACTATACACTTGTACTAGGCACTACTTTTTCTGTAAGAATTTATGTGTAACTATTGTGTTTAGTGATCATCTTTAATGGAGAATTTAAATTGTGGATTGTTTGATAGATTGTTTTAAAAGTCTTCGTAATATTTTCATTTACAAAGCCACCCCAATTGACTCTTACCCTAATACATTGAGCTTTGTAGAAAACAATTTGAGTGACAAACATTTTGCAAGTGACGTGCGAAGCTTTTAACTATCAGCAACATTACACGGATAATCTATTAGCCATCAGTGTCAAGTTCTTCCGTGGTAGGTAATAATTAGACTAACAATTACGTATACTATCTTTCACAATAATCCTATGCCTGGGAACACGATAAGATGAGCCGTGGGAGAAAATGCAACCTCGCAAAACCACAACTCATTTTCAAATTAAGGAAGTGTGAAATGTGTTTGTCGTGTCGTTATGTTTTCTACGCGGTGGTGTTTTTGTGTTGTGAATCTTTTGATGAGTTGAATCATGGTTTTGACATTAATCAGTTTGACAAAGAATAGTACCATAGATAACTATTTACTTTAATGTTCCGTCAACTTAGGCACCGGCCTGGAATAATAACGCAAGACCTTTCCTATGGACTAAATAGGGATATCGGGCTATAACTACGCCAGCTGAATGTGGTATATGGCAGTTAATAAATACTGTGGATGCGGCTTAGACTAACTGCTTAACATGCCTTCCGATCTACGTATGAGATTAGAATTAATAAACTTTCATTTTCGTACAAAATAAGTGTACTGACACTAAGTTCAAAAGTAACACCTAAAAGCAATTGATCCGGATTACCACTAAAGGGCCATGATAGAATACAAGATATTGATTTAGTTGCATGGATCATAAACAATTTGGAATATACTAGGATATAGCACACGTCAACCACCGCCAAGTACCGTTGATTTCGGCGCACGAACAATTCGTTCTCATCCTCCAAAAATCTTCACGCCCAATAACCAGAGCAGCACCGTTTTAAATAACCGTTTAACCGTTCCAAGGCGAATTTGCATACGAGCATTCGGTAAGAGCGGCTATCAACATCCGATCTTTGTTTCCGCACGAAACGATGCAGACGGTCAGAGGCCTAGGGTACGACGGGTGACCCCAGTAACGAGAATAGGCTATACGATCTCGATACACTTTCCATTGACCCCCGATCACGTAAACGTTTGTTAGAAATTAACTTCTCACCGGCAATGTACGCCAAGTTTTTTGTTACAATCAGAGGGAGGTGAAGTGTGGCCGTCATTCAGTACTTTTATGTTCGACTTACTTTCAACGAAGCCCCGTGACGAGCTCACGTTCACGGCTTGATGATGCGGTATGGTTCGTTTCATTTTTTCAACCGCAAACCATACGCTCAACCTCTGCGGCAAAAGCGATTGATCCGAAACTAAAATGTTTGTGTACTTACTTACCCCTTCTAATTTTCTACTTTCTTTGCTTCGTTTTGTTTCCATCATTTGTACAAATTGTACTTTCAGATTTAGGTTTATTTCCAAAATACCCTATTCTTATCTATCTCTACCAATTTTCTACTATCATACGCCCTTGACATTTTATTGCTTTCACTCACCTAGTCTCTTTTTTAGATTTTTTTTAATTTTCCCACGCGCTTAGTCGAAAATCAACGAACAAGGTTGTTATAGAATCTAGGCTAGCAACAGCAGCCTGTCTTCATAGTTTGCGGCTGATCTAATTCCTAATAATCTCCACCGTTATGATATTAACAAAAAATATCTTTCCTTTAGCTTAGATAGGTATCCTGTTCCCTCCGAATATGATTTAAGCTAACCCATACCTATATATAATTATAAAATATACTTCAATTAACATATATCTTAAGTAGACAGAAGTAGCCATGTCTAAAAAATGATCTCATTACCTGAATACTTAATGCTTGTTTTAAGTACTGTAAACTAATTTGTTAGTTAATAAAAAAAACTAATGATTGTTTTAATTGCAATGAACACGTACGCGACACTACCCACACTTTTGCTAAATATCTCTGCTATTTTACTTTTTATCATTGCCCCTAATCGCTAACAAGACAATGTGAATTCACCATATAGTCAGCATCCAATGCAACAATACAGACATTCAAACATAAGAATTAATTAAAGTTAACCGGTGCTATTATCAGTTTTGATCTGCCATCCTGTGATTTTGAACGAATTGAATGCCTTGTTCCAGATAGAAGCGGTGCTGGCACAAGACTACGATGGTAAGTGACCTAAATAAATTAATGACATAAAAACAATAATAAGTTTTTAATAAAGTTGTATTATTTATATTATAAACTATCCGATCATTCTTCTGAGTACGATTGTGATTGGATGTTATTTTTATTTTAAAGTCCCTAAGTCAATAAATAGCCTAAGAGAATACTAACAGCCACCGCCGCATTATAGACTTTGTGACATTAATTTACCACAAAGAGAAACATTTTTATCGAGAAGCAAGATTAAAGTTAACATTAAATTCTAGATACCAACTACAGCACCACTTACAGGGTCCAAACGTAAACCTAAACTATCCATTGACTTATCCGAACGCACACTGAAAGGTAAAGTTCCTACTCCAGAAGGGCGCTTGCCCTCTTTGAACGTAGAATCACTATGGCCTCTAATCAATTCGAAAATCTAATTATAATTATTTATTAACATTAATTTGAGGTACATATAATATGCTAGTGATTTCAAAGGCAGTTCAGTATTGCAAAAGGGGAATCAAATCAATAGGCCAACACAGGCAAACCCAATACCTAATGATTAATTTCTGTTGCAGCGCGGTCAACCATCGGCATCGCCAAGTACCCTGCGTCGTTAATTTGCTTGTCATAATTATAATTATTATATACTTACCCTATATATATGTATATATATTTCTTTTTACTGGCCTGTGTGTTTATTACATATGCGTTCCACTGTTACTTTTATATGCGTGCCCAATAAAAGTTATTCCTTTATTTTTTTTCTTTCTATTATATGCAGTCACGGACATCCAATGCACATTCTCAAGCGGTGGTAGCGGCTTGAGAGACTCTGTCACCGCACTTCTGAGGAAACCGGAGGGGTTTCGTGGTGCGCCGCTGTTCGCCGATGACCGCGCTACAGACCCCCTGGCGGACCCCGTCTGTCAGATCAGACCGGAACCCGACGACCCGACGGAACTACTTTATAGGCTGCGCATCACTGACTTCACGCGGTGCGGCGTGTTGAAGAGAAATGTGAGTATTTATCACCGCAGTCCTGAGGAAACCGGAGGGGTTCCATAGCGCGCTGCTGTTTACCAATGACCACGCTACGGACTCACTGGCGGACCCCGTCTGTCAGATCATACCGGAGCCCGACGACCCGACGGAACTACTTTATAGGCTGCGCATTACTGACTTCGTGCGGGGGGGCGTGTTGAAGAGAAATGTGATTATTTATCACCGCAGTCCTGAGGAAACCGGAGGGGTTCCATAGCGCGCTGCTATTTACCAATGACCACGCTACGGACCCCCTGGCGGACCCCGTCTGTCAAATCAGACCGGAACCCGACGACCCGACGGAACTACTTTATAGGCTGCGCATCACTGACTTTACCCGGTGCGGCGTGTTGAAGAGAAATGTGAGTATTTATCACCGCAGTCCTGAGGAATCCGGAGGGGTTCCGTAGCGCGTTGCTGTTTGCCGATGACCATGCTACGGACCCACTGCTGGACCCCGTCTGTCATATCAGATCGGAACCCGACGACGCGACGGAACTACTTTATAGGCTGCGCATCACTGACTTCACGCGGTGCGGCGTGTTGAAGAGAAATGTGAGTATTGTTCACCATAATCCTGAGGAAACCGGAGGGGTTCCGTTGCGCACTGCTGTTTGCCGATGACCGCGCTACGGACCCCCTGGTGGAGCCCGTCTGTCAGATCAGACCGGAACCCGACGCCGCGACGGAATTACTATACAGGCTGCGCATCACGGACTTAACGCGCTGCGGTTTGTTGAAGAGAAATGCGAGTATTGTTCACGATAGTTCTTGTTACTCTTATTATTAGAATTCGGTACATAATAGGTGATAACGGAAATCTATTTATAAGCCTCCGATGTCCAATTTTTTTCGAGTTGTGCGTGTATAAGCTGTAAAAGGAAGACGCAATTCAACTTTACACATAAGTATTGTCTATAGCTTTCGTAACGAGAAATAAAAAAAATAAGGGAATGCTCAAACAAGAGACGTAATTTTGTAGTCGTTTTCTGCACATACTCATCTTGTATTAAAATAAAATTTCATGATCCGCTTGTGAAATATTAAGCTGTAAAGTGTTTTTATTTTTGGTAGAGAAGCATTGAAGTAGTAGAATTACCTACAAGTCCGAAATATTGTCTTTAAGTGTGTTAAGTTTGTAATGGGTGTGGCGCAACTACGGAACCCTTCATTACTCTTCATCTGATACGAACTTAACCGGTTTATTTATTTATTTTGTGTTTACCATTTATTGTGAACAATATAAGCACTACCAGTATTATTTAATGAAACATGTGCTTGATTTCTTATTACTTACTTTAATAATTTTGCTGGGGGTTTTCATACCGAATCTACATCCTTCTTCACCTGAGGAACCAAATTGAAAATAAAGATTCAATACCTTAGTATCTCACGTGATAATTATCAGTAATTTTAAAACCTTACACTGTTTTGCAAATTACTGCAATTCGTTATGTAGAAAGATACCGCAAAAACGGTATCGACCAGTGACTGCTAAAAGTAACTGTAGGATCCCGTACTGTACGTATTCAATTTGTTAAATTTACTAACCCACTTTTAGGAATATTTTTTATATTTATAAATCTTTCCTTCCACCAACTCGTGACAACATTCGTGACGTGATAAATATTATAATTCCATATAATTCTGATTAACATAATACCAATTGTATATACAGAAATGTTGATTATTCAGTATCTACTACTGAATTAATGACCTGATGACCAAATCTTAAGATATATAATAGTTGATTTTGCATCAAAGAGATAAAGCAGTGTATTATGTTACGAGCAGCGTATTAAATACTTCGCTTCATTCAGAATTGTGTCAGTAGTTAATTCCAGAACGCAATGAGCGAATTAAGGTGAGAATCCTGAGTGAAGCGAAGTATTCAAGATTGCTCAAAACTAAGACACTTTATCCCCTAAAAGCACGAGTACTTTATACACCTACTGTGAAGTCCAATAAAAAATAAATTTTAAATTCAATTGAAAAAAAGTAAGTTTCTTCAATTAAAAATTAAATGTTATGTTAGAAACATTACTCCAGTTATGGAAACTTAATGTAATGAAGACTCAAATACCTATTAACTCTACTATTTTACTATTTTTCCTTTTTATAAACTCTTCATATACTTATTTAATATAATTATTCTTATCTTATTAATAATCAATCAATAATATTAACGAAGTACTTAATTTATTTCCGTAGGCAAATGAAAGTTAAGTGATCATCGGAGTAAAGTCTCTTTGATGTGTCTAATTTTATAGTTAAAAACTCCTTGGACCTAGGAATTTATGCTTTTAACAGCCTTGTTTTTTTTTAAAAACCTTTTTTGAAAGAATGTTTTGCTAACATTTTAGCTTTAATTTTTTCCACATTTAAATGTTATTATTACCCGAGGAACCTCGCAGTTCTATCCAATTAATTAATCTAATAGCTCTCTTGGGCTTGAATAGCTTAATTTAAATTGAGAATACTTAACATATTATAATACCTACGTGCTCCAGATGCAGGTGATGCTTAAAAAAATATAATCTCCATAAGATTACCTAATTGATGGAGTTTGTAAACGAAAGCAGCAGTGCAGTCGTTTGCAAATTCCGAAAGAAACGGGAATTCTCAGAACCAGGTCGGTTTTCACTTATTTTATCATTACTTTATTCATGTAACAACTCATAGTTAAATAAGAGATGTAGGTACTTACCATCTATAAAGTCACCACACGTTTATCCATTTAGTATTTAAACGCAAACGTTACAAAACCTCGTAAAAACACTTGAGATCAATTTCCATAAGCGTCGTTTTGTTCCCCACTGAAATCGTGTGGTGTGGATGTTTTGTCATTGGCGGGTAATAACTTATGCCGTTATGTACCGTACGATGTCTACAGTGGCCTACAGAGCCGCTAGCAGATAGGTATACTATATTATTAACCGGTACATACTTATTGGAACAGATGATACCCATCCTATCGAACACTTACTTTTAGCATTGCAATATAACATTTGAAATAGTACAGCCAAAAAAACATATAGCATTTCTTTTATGGAGAATCCCTTTATAGAGTTTCGGGCCCAAAGGGTAAAAATTTTTAAACAAAATATAAAACCGACTTCAAAATCGAAAATGGAACTAAAAATTAAAAAATAACATCTGGTTCATGATTTGGAAGTCGGGCGCATCAAGATTGAAAGAAGTATTATTACCGATCAGAAAAGGAAAATCTATTTAATGTTTTAATCTGGACCCCGCCCGACTTCCAAATCATTAACCAGATATTATTTTTTACTTTTTAGTTCCATTTACGATTTTGAAGTTGGTTTTTTTTTTTGTTTTTTTTTTATTTCTTCCATTTTAGTGATAATTACATAGTCCAAGTAAACAATAAACAAAAAAAAAGAATTTAGGAAATCGGTGAACATGCATAAAAAACATCGTGCGTACTTTTGAAATTTGAAGGTTTCCCTTGATTTCCCCGGATTCCACCATCAGATCCTGACTTGGTTCCAATGGGACTACTTCGGATGTGCACTCTTTCGAATAAAAAAAGAATTTTGGAAATCCGTCTACTATTGACGGAGAAATCGGTGGACATACATAAATATATATATATATATTTTAATATATATAAATCTCGTGTCACAATGTTTGTCCTCAATGGACTCCTAAACCACTGAACCGATTATAATAAAATTCGCACACCATGTGCAGTTCGATCCAACTTGAGAGATAGGATAGTTTAAATCTCAAATTATAGTCGCAATTTTAATTTATTGCAAATTATTACTTTTGGGCGGTACGAAGTTCGCCGAGTCAGCTTGTATATATATATAGTCGAACACAGAACCTCCTCCTTTTTTGAAGTCGGTTAAAAATATAGTGTCCTAGTAATATAACTAAGACTCCACTATCCGTCTGTCTATCAACAGGCTGTATCTCATGAACCGTGATAGCTAGACAATTGAAATTTTCACAGATGATGTTGTTGAAACCTTCGTGTGCGAGGCCGACTTGCACTTGGCCGGTTTCTATTAGTTTTATTTATCTAATTGGTAAATAATTAGTTTTTAAACTAGAAAAAGCCCAACGCTTCCCAGATCCCTGATTATAGTCGCACCAAAATTATTTTATCCAGCGCTGTTATAACGAGTTTTACAATTACGAAGACTATGATAGTTTTCGTGAGCTCGCACCGTATTATTAGTGCTGATTTTAATGTTTTCGTTTCAATACAAATAAACAGTGTTGAAATTCTATCATTAAATCATTTGTTTCTTATTAAATTTCAAGTATATTTGGTTAATTTTCACCAAAATGGACATAGAAACATAATTTACAATTACGAAAACTATGATAGTTTTCGTGAGCTCAAACTCGTACTAAGGGTACTGATTCTTCACGTCGTATAATGATTCCAGGTGTGACGCATGCTAGCTGCAGTATAGAACTAGGGACGAATTTCATTTTTCTAGTAAAAATTGTTGTGGCTATTTGAATCTAGAGAAAAATAATTTATTTAAATTTATTTAAAACAAAAAAATGAAATAATTGTTGAAGTTATTTAATTCGTGCTACTTTATTTGGTAATAGTTCAAAACCCAGCGGCTTAAAGTGTATGTTGGTTGACCAATCATCTGTCAGTCAGCTAGTGAGTGTTTCTTTTCAGTTGATCCTACTAATATTATAAATGTGAAAGTTTTTATGTTTCTTATTTAATCATATAAAAACTACGGAACAAATTTTGATGAAATTTGGTCCGCATATAGCTTATGACCTGGATTGAGACCCTGGTTACTTGGTTTTAGTACTTAACTTGGGCCTTCAATATTTCCCAGGGTTTCGTTCACGTGCGTGTATGGTTTCCCCAATTTCCGGGTGTGGTGATGCAGTCAGACCAGGAGTTGATCATCATGTGCAAGCCCCCTGAGCCCACCATTATCGAAAACAAGGCTGCGGGTTTCGCTGGTAGCTTGTGAGTATATTTTCATTATCATGAATAATAAGAACATATTAAGGTACATAAGAATCCTATGTAAGTTTTCATTCAACAATACCTGATCCAAGTGTTGAGGTCATAATCTCACAATGTTTAATTGACAGTGAGCTTTAATAATTGATATTCAGTTAAAAAACCTATTTACAATACAGGGTTACTGGTAAAGTCGACTTAAATACCTATTTTAAGGTCAGGACAATATTATTAAGGTTAGCTCATTGCTGATAGATTTTAGTCTATGACCTACTGTCGAAAAGTTAACCTTTTAAAAAAAATGGGTTTTGTTTTTGTTCTTAAAAGTGCCAATTTTAAGTATATTTAACCTTTTTCGTCTCTTAGATCAGAGTTTTTACTGTTTTCATGTAGAAGGCACGCCATAAAAATAAATTATTAAACTTGAAAAAAACTGCTATCTGGTTAAAGTGGCAGCTATTTTACTGTTTATAAATAGATGCATTCCCAACTTTCCAGTAGCAGGTTTATTAAAAAAAGTTGTATGGTACTTTACCAGCAACTTATAATAATAACTTACACGTGATTTTAGCTATCTAAAATGGTATAAATTTCTAAGTAAAGTAGGCAAATCAACGTAGAAATAAAGAAGAAAGTGATCACACGCCATATAGTAAATTAAAAAAAATAAACAATATAATTTTATAAAATAAAAAAACATGATAATTTATTATTTTTATTAATTCGCGTTCAGTAAATTTTCTCAGGTAACTCAAAATTCACGGTGTACAATAAAAATAAATCCTTATTTCCCTTAGTCACAGCAATAATTTGAGAAAGATTTTACCGACTCCATTATATTTTTAAGTTTTTTTTAATAATACTTTGTGGAAGGATTTTATGAAAAACTGAAGTTAACGGGAACGAAGTCGCGGGAGAAAGCTAGAACAAGTTTAATTTAAAAGGAATGCGTAGTAAAGATTCGAGGTTTAGTTTAAATAATCGACATAAAGCATACATGTGTAGCCTTGCGTAAAAATTGTTTATCCTACTGTATATACTGTGCGTAGGAATGAGTGTGCAATGTTAACAATATATTATTACATGTCATAAAAATAATCATTGAAACATTAGACGTAATCGCCCATCCAATGCTATGACGTTTGGTGAAGCCGAATGCGGTAAAGGATATCTGGTGGGGTCGAAACCCCGGAGAGTGGACTGTAGGTGTGGTTCGAAGTATTAAGGGGGTTTGGTTAATGGGATAGGATGAAAAACACTGTGCTTACTTGAGGGCCTCGATGGTGGCGCTGGCTCATACGCCGGCTTCTCCTGCAGCAGTCTTGTCCTGATGCCAGCGGTTTAAGATGGCGGTCAAGAAAGTCCCTTTTGATAGCTATCACTAATCACACACAAACCTCCTATTTGCGAAAACTGTTCACTTAAAGATTGTTTATTAATCTTCACACTTATTTATATGACTTTAATGCGGAAAAATATCTATATCACAATTGTTGCGGAGCGATGAAAAATACGACCATTTCGTCCTTACGCGGTGACAGAACTTTTTTCTTTTGTTGATGCGGTGACAGCCTGCTGACAGAGCCATTTCCTTCCGGCCATCCGTCGTTGCAGGCAAATATATTGCGTCTTCTTCCCTCATAAGCATAAGGCACAGTGTTTGAAGGAGAAGGATCTATTGGGATGCGGTTAATTCGAAAAGAGAATGACACGGTATGAAATTTAGAGACTAGAATATGTTTTGGCGTTACCATTTTCCCCCGGCCTTAAAGGGTACCTTTAAAGAAAATGTATAAAGCGGAAATAACTAAGTAGGAGAAATGGAAAAAGACTAAATTATTGTGTAGGGATAGGACACAAGCGGACCACAGGTCGCACAAGTATGCCCTTAGAAGTGCGGACAGAAACGACGCGGACGCTGCCATCTTTAGACGGATGCAGCTTTTCTATGACACCTAAAGGCCATGATAGAGGCGGTGCATTATCATTAATTATTACTACCACCGTACCTTCGCGAATCATGTTACCTACAGGCTTATTCCATTTCTGGCGCATTTGTAAGCTATGAAGATACTCGCTTCGCCATCTCTTCCAAAAGGACTGGACCATTTTGTCCATAAGCGAGTACCTTTCGAGTAGGTCTGCGTTTGAACCTATCTCCGCGGCGGGCAACGAATAAAGTGGTACTGAATGCAAAAAATGGGACGGTGTTAGAGCGCTGGGCTCTGATGGATCAGCACTAAGAACGGTTAGCGGTCTGGAGTTTAAGACATTCTATTTGCGTAAGAATCGTTATTAACTCCTCATACGAAAGAAGTTGTTGACCTATTGTCTTAAAAAGATGCGTTTTAACTAATTTTACCATCGACTCCCAACAACCTCCGAAGTGCGGAGAAGCGGGCGGAATAAACTGCCAGTCGATACGATTTTCGGCGAGCTCTTCATCAAAACGTGGACGGTATTCCCTATTAATGAAATTATATAGGTCGCGAAGATAAGAGTTAGCTCCTCGGAAATTCGTTCCGTTATCGGAGTATAAACACTGTACCGGTCCGCGGCGCGACAAAATCGTTTTAAGGCTGCCAAAAAACAAGCAATAGTAAGATCCGTAGCGAGCTCAACATGTATGGCGCGAGTGCTCATACATGTAAATATACATAAATAAGCCTTACGACTCTTTGCACCTCGAGTGCGTATAGGAACATAATTTATGGGACCAGCGTAGTCACAACCGGTATGCGAAAAGGCCTTAATAGGGACATTTACCCTATGTTCCGGAAGATCGCTCATAATCGGCGAGACCTGCGGACGCGGTTTCCACTTATGACAAATATTACACTTGTGGATTATAAAACGAATAGTTCCTCTCGCGGACAATATCCAATATTTGTTACGCAACAGTGACATAGTGAGCTCCGGACCAGCGTGGAAATATTTACTATGGTAATATTCAACGAGAAGCTCCACAGTGCGATCGCGACGTGGTAAGACGACGGGATGTTTAGTATCATAAGTCTCGGCCGAATGGGATAGTCGACCTCCGACGCGAATTAAATTACTTTCTATAAACGGTTTGAGTTTAACGAGAGCGGGCGAACAACATTTATTATTATTTAAATTATTATAATCTTTCGAAAAATGTTTTAATTGAACATGATACAATAAAGCGTTTTCTGCGAATTCAAAATCACTTGCGGCTACGAAATTAGATCTACGCGGTATTTTACGAAGAAAGCGATATACAAATACAATAATGCGTAATAATTTCGACCAACTTGATATACGCTCAGCGAGTGCGAGCAATGGCGAGTTAAATTCAGGACTTGAAACTGTTGTATGAACATGAGCCTTCTCCTCCGGTATTACTTCCGTGTCTACATCAGTAACCTTGTATATAGGCCACTCTGAAGGGGAGCTCTTAAGCCAAGTTGGTCCACACAACCATAACGGATGCTCAATAAATTTATCGGGCATCAAACCTCGCGACAAACAATCAGCAGGATTTTCTGTACCTGCTACGTGATAGAAGTGCTCTGCGGGGAGGTTGTCCACTATACGAACAACACGGTTGGCAACAAAAGTTTGCCAGCGATGCGGTGAGGAATTAATCCAACAAAGGGTCACCTTTGAATCGGTGAATGCATAAATGGCTGAGATATTATAGCGCGGATTATAAGTGTCATGCACGCGACGAAGAAGCTTTGACAAAAGCTCTGCTGCGCAAAGCTCAAGCTTAGCGATAGACAACGGCTTTACAGGCGATACCTTAGACTTTGCGCAGGTTAGTTGCACAATCACCTCGTCCTCGCGAGTGATATGAGCGTAAACGACGGCCCCGTAGGCGCGTTCACTAGCGTCAGAAAAACCGACTAAGCGGAAAACACAGCCATTGACAATACCTAAATGACGCGGAATTTTAAATCTATTTAAAAGCGGAAGCGTGATGCAAAATATTTTCCAGTTAGATATGATGTGACGAGGGGGAACATCGTCCCAATCGAGTTTCAAGAGCCACAACTCTTTTATAAGTAATTTTGCGTAAAGAATTACGGGTGAGACAAAACCCATAATATCCCAAAGACGAGCTACGGTTGAGAGTATAACGCGTTTTGTACATAAATCAGACGGCGCGGTGACTCGAAATTCAAAATGGTCATCTGATTTAGACCAGCGCAAGCCCAGAACCTTCTGTTCTAATGACTTATCGAACTCAATAGACTCGGACAGTCTATGAGAAGCGGGGATACAACTTAAAACTATTTGGGAATTGCTGCTCCACTTGACCAAGTCGAATTGACCACCCTTAAAAAACTGTATCAGTTCGTGTGCAGCTTGAATAGCATCCGATTCACTATTTACCGATCGCGATGTAGCAACATCGTCCATATACAACGAGTTGGAAACTACAGCGCGAGCGAGCGGATACTTATCACCGTCATCCTCAGCTAGTTGCTGTATAGTGCGAAGCGCGTGATAAGGGCTGGACTTAAGACCGAAGCATACGCGGTTGAATTGGTACAATACCAAAGGTTCATCCGTATTAAAACGATAAAGGATGCGCTGAAAACGACGATCACTCTTTCTTACTTCGATTTGTAGGAACATTTGCCGACAATCGGCCGAAAGTGCGACAGCAAATAAGCGAAAATTTAAAATTATTGTAAACAAATTGCCCTGTAAATTAGGACCACTGTGTAAAATATCGTTAAGCGACAAACCAGAACTAGTTTTAGAGCTAGCGTCTAAAACTGAGCGTAATTTAGTCGTAGTTTTATCCAAACGTATGACTGCGTGATGCGGTATAACATAGTCCGGGCGGCAGTCTCTCGAACTATCGAGTGGTGCGGGTGACAAATAACCTTTGTCAATATATTCGCGAATAACATTATCATAAGCGACACGTAACTCCGATGAAGATTCTAATTTCCTTTCCAGACAAAAAAAGCGTCTTTTCGCGACGTCGTACGAGTTTCCTAACGAAAACACGTCAGTGCGAAACGGCA